GGTTTACTTCGAATATTTTGCTGATGTATTTACCAATTTTCCCCATTCGGTTACTTCACTTTCCATGTTCTAAGTTCATTTGCATTCGTTGGAGAGCTGACAAAATCAAATTTGCCATCCAACTGATTTATACAGCCTAAGGCAGCACATTTTACCATCCTTCCAAAACAGAATTGAATTATGTCGTATTAAGATAAAGTATGAAATCAACATTTTGTAAGATCTCTTTTAACGATTATGAATGTGACGTGACAGCAATGTCATGTCAGGGACGCCAATACACGAAACCAAAGTCATTAGATGATTGAAAGAGAAAGGAGCTATGATCTGTCCGTACCCCGTTAGATGACAAATACGTCAGTTTACTTCAAGGGACCCTAGCGTGATCCAATGATGGAAACGGATCAATGATCATGGAATTCCTCTTGATCGATGGACCAACCAAGGGCCGATGACCATTGACGCGTGACACTGTATCGAAACAACTTTAGTTTCAATCTCTTTGATATGTCGGGTCGTGTGAAAATGATTCACTCAGTATAAGGTTTTACTTATCGGTCGTACCGTTTTGTACCACCTCCGTTCGCGAAGCGTAGAGTGATAAAAATTAGCTGCCGCTGATAAGCTTTTGCGCTGTGTTTGCGTGTGTGTGTTTATTTATTAGGCCGTTTTTCATTGTTATCAAGGCTTTTGCTATCAAGACTCTAAAGAGAAAAGTAATCGGTTCAGTATTATCACAGTTGAGAGAATATATACCAGTTAACTCACTCCCCGAAATGCCGCCAAACGTGCCGCGGCTACCTTCCCCTTTCCCCGTCTTGATCGCAGCAAGTTGCAGCTAGCGAACGTCAGTCGGCTACGTACATAGTGAATCAAGTGAACGCAGCGATCGTGCTATATCGGGTGTCTCAAATAATAGCCTATTAGTGTGAATTAAAGCATAAGTATGTCTATAACGTATTGCGTTGTTGATGGCTGCAGAAGTAGAATGGGTGGAGAATTATCATTTTTTAGATGTCCATTGGATGAGGACAGGCAAAAAAATACTTACATTATAAATACAATTAAAGGGGAAAGTTACCAAACTGCTGTTGAAATGTACTGCAAAATGGCAATTTTCGCAACTGATTTCGACATTGCATATTTTCTGGATCTCTCTATATATTCGGATTAATTATTCTCGATTATATGAAAAGTCTATCAGTTATACGAGACTATCTATTTCAATTGAAAAATATGTCAAGTTCATATTTACTTCGGAAATTGATTTGCTTTCCGAATTTCATTCAAGTGACTATTTGGAAATAGAAGTGGAATATCATTGTAACAATAGTTGCGTAGATCGCTGATAAAAACATATTCTGGCAAATTATTATACAGGATGAGCAATAAAGCATGTTTAGTTAAGAAATGTGCAGTGAATTTGAGCATGTCAAATCATGTTTTGTAGGTGTCAAGCTTGGAAAATTGTGTTGGGATTCATAGGTACACATAGATATGCAAATATAACATCAGAGCAGGGTCACAGCAGATTGAAAGTTTGCAGCTTAATTTCACTGAAAATTGTTTTGTGAATGAAGCACGAAATCGCCTCCAGAAGTTTGCCATTCCTTCTTCACTGGGTCCTAGTTCATACACTCCTTCCAAAGGTTATCTTTATCTATCAATTAATATCTATAGATATTAATTGATAGATGTTACTATAGTAACATCTCTATATATAAAAATGTTTGTCTGTCTGTCTGTCTGTCTGTCTGTCTGTCTGTCTGTCTGTCTGTCTGTCTGTCTGTCTGTCTGTCTGTCTGTCTGTCTGTCTGTCTGTCTGTCTATCCTCTTGCATCTTCTGTCCATATCAAAATGTTTTTTATGTTTTGTATTTCTATGTTTGTTAGCAAGCGAGAAACCCCCTTTAAGTAGGGCTCACATCCTATAAATAATAGATCAGGTTCATTGAGCACCTGGTAAAGCATATTTTCACCGTTGCCAAAGCCTATTTCTACCCATATTCTTTTTCGTGAATTTACAATCTTCTCTATAGATTCCTTGCTGTTTTGAATAAAATATTTTTCCAATATTTCATCAACATCCGGTTTTAACCTAAAAAATAAAATCGTAAACGGCTTTCGATAATTTTTTTATGTCTTTTTCGTTATAGTTCAGGGGTGGTCTACAAACATTTTTGTTGCAAGGTTCAATGAGTTAGCTGGACAAGATTCCAATAGGTATGAAACTGAGAAATGAATTCTACAAGCAATCATTCCATCATCCATGTGAGAACTTTCCATATGATTATTTCTTTTCATTATATACAAGATTGAGGATTTATTATACCCTAAAATTCTTGAATCATGAAATAAAAACAGGTAAAATCAACAAGGCGAATCCGAAAATAAGTATATTAAAACATTTATGATTTTTTCAAATTTTTATATTTATAAAGATAATAATAGATGTTTTTTTTTCATATATGATCATTCCCTCCCTGCATTCTTCTCAATATAATAAACAATCATAATTCAATTATTATTCAAGTTGAAATCGAGTATAACTATCAGCAATCAAACATCTGGAAGATCCCTGGTAAAATTCTACGCGCAGATCGCACGTTGTCGAGGTCCGATTGCCCCTGGTATTGTACCGATTTTTTGTCGCCGCCACTATTGAGGCGCATCGCTTCTGAACTCGAACATCAAAGGGAATTCGGAGAGTGACCCAACTGGTATATGTAATATTCTCTCAACTGTGGTATTATGCCTAACTGATTTTTCTGCCCAAATAATATTTACAAGCTATATTGAAACTGCTCTTGGTTTGAAGGATTATTTTCGTTGGGAAGTTATCCTCTGTGCCTGCATTGTCTTTTAGGCAGGTGGATCTTTTCTTTAGACGATATTTTATTATTTTGCCTCAAATGACCTGTGCAGTTTTTCTGTATGTGTATACGTATTATGTTTTATACCTACAGGGCGCTAAAGATTGTGTATCAGTGTTAACGTATCGTCTTGCTCAGCTTGAATTATGATTATTTATAAGTTTAGTTAGTTAAAAATTATGTCCCTACATCACGATACCAACGCCGTGTGGCCGGCAGGAACCAATAAAACGGACTATCCTGATCTGGTGTTTTTCTGACTTCTGAGACCACCACGCCCCGATTTATTAATTAATTAATCAAAGAGTCGTTACAGCACGAAAGCCGAAACTATCCGAACGCAAACGACAGCGAACCAAAACATTGCAAACATTTTTCTATGTTTTCATTCCAGAACGATTTCAGTTCTGTATTATTCACAGTAAGAAGGCAATAGTATATTATTCGACGAGCGTGTAATGATGGCCATTACTCATGAGAATGAAGTTTGCGACGTGAGCCGCAGGCGAACGTCGTAATCATTCGAATGAGTAATAGCCATTACACGCAAGTAGAATACTATACTTTTTCTATGACTGAGTGATGAACTGGTTGAGTTCATCAGCAGTGAATATCTTTGCTTTCTTTGACATATATCCATCAGATTTCCTTTTTAGAAATGCTCGTTATTTCAAATATTTGTCAATATTCACATAATTTTCCATTGAAATTGTGCTTCTTAGTATATGCATGGAATACTGTGACCACAAGGAGGATGCTTTGTGCTTAGCTGCTAATTCGCCAAAATAGGCTAGCAGTACATTATCCGAAATCGAATTTGCAAGTTTTGCTTTTCGCCAAACCACTTCATACCTTTTTTTAGATTCCTCGGGCAAAAGGCTGATTGTACTTGAATTGGCAGCTTTCGAAACTTTTGATGGTGGAGAGCAGTTGAATTCATTTTCGCTTTCTGAATCCATATTTGGACAAAAAGTCAGTTCTAAATCACGCCAGATAGCTATTGTCAAATTATGACATTTCATGACGAGTCTGATTCAAACGTCTCACTGCATGCCCCATATTATCATTACAACTGGTGTCAACTGTTTTGTAGGTAATGAATCTGCTTTGTTGCTGATTGGCCATAGCCTGTTGTGTAATGGCTCTTACACACGGGGCGTGGCATGTTTTGTGTAATGCATCCAGTTACCCAACAAAAATGTTACATTAAAAGGGTCTAGTTTTCAACAGTCATAGAAAAAAAATGTTTCCATATACCTATTTGAAAGTTCAAGAGATTTTGTGTTTTTTAAAGCGTTTTCTCTGTACATTTGAAATATTTCAGGACAATTCACTGGGTATATCAAATGTTAGATATTAATGATATATTGCAGAAATTTCGGTAATTTTGCACTTATCATGTGATGGTTTTTTTTTTCGAAAATTTCATATGTATTTTTGTCTGAAAAACACGATTTTGATAATGAAAATGTGAACAAACCACTATTTATCGAGATATTTCAAGAAAAAGTTCGAAATATTGCCTTATTTTCCCCCTTGTGTTGGATGCATTTACAGGTACTTGCTCTTTTTATTTTGTCATTGGACACTTTATAACTCATGATGTACTTCAATGACACATTTTAAGCTATAAAATTCAACAGGAAATATGATTTTCATGGCGAGTTTTTCCTATTTAGTGAGCAAGCATACCAGATGATGGCCATTTAATCCATAGTCCAGATGTCAAATGTCAATAGATTGCTTTGGAGTGACATTACACACACCATTATTTCAAATGATATTCTTCCTTCTTTTCACTAAACATGGATAAATTCACAGGAAAATCATATTTCTAGTTGACTCATATAATAAAAAAAATGTGTCCAACATTGTGTGATATATATAAGTTGTCCAATGATGGAAAAAGAAGGGCAAATTGTTCTAAATGCCATCCAAAGACAGGCGGAAAAGAAGGTGAAATTTGTATCTTTATAGTGAAATATCTTGATAAATAATGGTTTGTTCACATTTTCATTATCAAATTCGTGTTTTACAGACAAAAATACGTGAGTACCAAAAAAAATTTCGGAAAAAACCCATAGCATTATAAGTGCAAAATAACCGAAATTTCAATTCAGAGTTTCAGAGTTCTGGAACTTCTGTGGTCAGAGAATGAAGAAGTTATACGTATCATTGTTCTTTTGGTTCCTTATTATTTGGACTTTCCGGAGATTTTGTGTAGTTTTTGTTCACTTGGTTTTTCTCTGTGCGTTTGGAAAATTTCAGACACCTTTTTTCTGGGATATGAAAATATATTAGATGTTTATGATATATTCATGAAACATTTGTTTAAAATGTTTCAAAAAATTCCATGTAGGTTTCCGTTCATATGTTTCATACACATTGTGTGTTTATCGGGCATGTCATCAAAAAACACTCTGTATATTGATTTTTTGAAAAATAAACGAACATAAATCTCAATTCAGGAAACTTCCCCACTATACAGGGTGTTCCTTAAAGATATGCTAATATTTGAGGGGGCGATTCTTTGACTCATTTTGAGAAGAAAACTTCACATGAACGTATGCCCTAAATGTCTTATTTTTTGAGATAAAAGGTGATGAAGTTTTGAAAAATATTCAGTTTCTGGATAATAACTGAGACAATATTGTATACATCTTCATGAAATTTGGAGCACCTTTTTTATACAACAAGCCTGTATTTTCTCTAGAAAGGCGGAACTCAGTATGCCCGACATTGTAATGTCTGGCACCACCATCCCCACCAAGCCCACCATATCTATGCTCGGTATTTCGATCAGCAACACTCTTTCATGGGATAATCATGTCAGATCCATCGCAAAAGCTGCTTCACAAAAACTCGGATTCTACTTTACATCTCAACAGCTCCTCATGATCTACAAAGCGCAGATACGGCCTGTTCTAGAATACTGTTCCCACATATGGGGTTCAGCACCGAAACATACGCTGATGCTCTTAGATTTCATCCAGAGAAGAGCCATCTGCCTGATGGGTGACGCCACACTCACTCGCTCTTTGACATCATTGGAACACCGCAGAAAGGTCGGCGACCTTTCACTTTTCTATCGATACTTCCACGGGAAATGTTCTTCGGAAATCTCTGCTATCATCCCTTCACTAGCAATACCAGTCAGACGAACTAGACAAGCCCAGTCAGCACATCCCTTCGTTGTCAACCTCGAAAGATGTCGAACAGCACTTTATCAAAACTCCTTCATCCATAGAACGGCTGGGCTCTGGAATTCATTGCCTGAGGAAGTACTCCCAACGACATATAATCTCCAGAAGTTCAAAAAAAATTCCAATACCCACCTCCCATCCCTATCCTCCCTAGGAACGCACGATGTTCTTCGAACATCATAGGGATTCCCTCTCGTGCGCTCCAAGCGATTAAAAAAAAGGTGCAATTCCTGATGTACACAAATTTTCATTTTCTCTACCAGGTGGCACCGTTACGTTTATATTTTATTTAAAAGTGAGCATCGACGAGAAATTTTCAAATTTCGTGCAATGCTATGAAAGGCAATTCAATTATGTACAGGGTGGACAACTAAGACTCCAGAGTTCGATTTCTCTGTTGTCTTGAGAGATACAGAAATAAGTCATGTATCAAAATTGAAGTAATAATCGAGCTTCACATTTCAAAATTTCTTTGAAATACACAGGGTGTTACGTAAGGTCACAGCACATCAAAGCTATGTTTTTTTCATTGGAACACCCTATATTTTATTTCATTTTTGAATTCTCCCTGAAGATCTGATTTCAACGACCCATCATACTTACGGTCTAGCAGTGAAAGTTACTGACATATAGGGTGTGCAAAATCTAGATTTTTCAAGTTCAGAATTTTTGTCTGTCGAAACTGTTCATTATTTTTCAAAACCGTTTACATGTCCCTATCTCAACTTTTCACTCACTATCAATTGGTGTTCAATTGAAATTGATACAAGGTGGTCAAAAAATCTTAGTTTATAATTTGTTTCAATTAAATGTCAATTAAACACCAATTGATAGTGAGTGAAAAGTTGAGATAGGGACATGTAAACCGTTTTGACGAATAATGAACAGTTTCGACAGAAACAAATCCTGAACTTGGAAAATCTCGATTTTGCACACCCTATATGTCAGTAACTTTCACTGCTAGACCCTTAGTATGATACGTCGTTGAAATCAGATCTTCAGGGAGAATTCAAAAATGAAATAAAATATAGGGTGTTCCAATGAAAAAAACATAGCTTTGATGTGCTGTGACCTTATGGAACACCCTTGTGTATTTCGAAGAAATTTTGAAATGTGAAGCTTGGTTATCACTTTAATTTGAATGCAAAACTTTTATTTGTATCTCTCGAGACAACAGAGGTATCGAACTCTGGATTCTTAGTTGGCCACCCTGTACAAAAAAGGTCCACTTGTTGACACTCTATGAAACGCTTCGTTTTAGAGAAAAACCAGACTTCAAATTTTCATGAGTACTCCATTCAGGACATCCATTACTGAATAACCACAGTATGTAACATTTTGTAAATTTCATACAGTCACATAGCAGAAATGGCAGAATTTTGCCATCCGTAAAAGATACAGGGTGGACAGGAAAAGAATCTATGCATATTTTCAACATTGACACCCTGTATTTCAAAAGTTAGCACGTTCACAAGATACGTTCATATGAAGTTTAATTCTCGAAATGGGTCGAATAATCCGCCCCTAGAATATTAGCATATCAACCCTTTATATCGGTCTCACGCGTCCCAACACCTTGTAGCTCAATATATCTATTAGCCCTCTAAAATTTTCCGTTGAATCATTGAATCACCCTGTATAACATTTGTGCAAAGTGGCTTGCTTCCTGCTGAACAGCTTATCTCGTTCACCACTAGGATTATTATGAAAACCATCGATAACGAAAAGTATATGATGGCAACTTTTCTGTTATTTTTATGTGCCTTGTATTTATGTTTATAACAATTTCCGGTATATCGGCCAGCAGTAGATTAGGCTGGTGTGTTTTGTAGTGTTTATCGCTCGGTTTCTTGTTATCACTTTCCGTTGTTCCGACGATTGACCACAACATCCGATATCCAGACGCTGTATACAGGGTGATCCACGGTGGATGGCCTATTAGAAGTATCTGGAGAACGAAAAGACAGAACATTCTGGAGATTGGGATGCTTAGATAATTGAACATTCTCTATTCGTCTAAAATATTTTCATCGTTAATTCGTTAATTTAAACGGAGCACCCTGTATTTCATTGTATTTTTAGATTCTTCCTGAAGAGCTGATTTCATCAATGCATCACACTTGGGGTGTAGCAGGAATGATTACAGATATATAGGGTGTTCAAAATCGAGATTTTTCTATTTTAGAATTTTTTTTGTCGAAATTATTCATTATCGATCAAAACGACTTACTTGTCCCTATCTTGACTTTCGATTCACTATCTACTGACATTTAATTGGAACAGATACAGGGTGATCAGATTTCTGAATCTTCGATAGATAAAGTCAATTCTCAATTTCAGGGGATTTTGATTTTTCATGCTCTCTTTTTGGATATTCAACAGATATAATTCACTGTTCGACGTGGCAAATAGCCAGGAAAGTAGTTGTTTTCTGTTGAAAATTCAGAATGATATTATGTGCATATCTTTATACATATGAAGGAGAATGCAAATTCTCTACTTCAGAAGATTTTGTTTTCAAATTATTATCGTGTGTCGTGTTCAATAGATATAATTCAATGTTCGTCATGGCATATAGCCAGGAAAGTAGTTGTTTTCTATTGAATAAACCGAGACAGAATTAATATTTTCATCACATGGAGAATGCGAATTCTCAATGTATTTCTTTATATATACAGGGTGTTTCATGGGTAAAGGGAAATATTTCAATGGTAGATAGGGGTCACCAAGGTGGTTCTGAAAATACCATATTTGATAGGTCTTAGAGTCTTCATAACGGAGATACAGGGCGATCTATCGATTTCGAATAAATATTCATTCGTCTATAAGTATTGAACTACCCAGTATATTTTTCTAAAATTTGGTATGGAGCTTATACTTGGGACGTTGAATTCATTCACCTATAGGGTGAAGTGAAAATCCAGGTTCGGCTTCAGGAAAAATTTACAATTATTCGAAATATTAAAATAACACACTGTATGTAATAATTGACAGAGTTCATCAAAGGAATCGTGAAGAGGAAAAACTGAACTGGATTTGATGCTTTTTGTTTTCCCGCCACCAATTCTCATCGTAACAATCATAAACAGAAAGCTAAAAGTATGTCAATTTGAAGAGTATTGAAATTATGAAACCACTTTCAATTATCAATTCAGTCTCACAGTCTTTATAACAGAGATACAGGGTGAATTATCGGTTTCGAATAATTATTCACTCGTCCATATAAGTATTAGACTACCCATCGCAGTAATATTTTCTCAAATTTGGTATTGAGCTTACTTGGGACGATGGATTCATTGACCTATCAGGCAGAATGGAAATACAGGTTCAGCTTCAGGAAAAGTCTCATAGTCTTTATAATAGAGATACAGGGTGAATTATCGAATTATAATTATTTGGTATTATTTCTATTCCGCCTGATAGGTTAATGAATTCATCGTCCCAAGTAAGCTACATACCTACCAAATTTGAGAAAATGTTACTGGGTAGTTTAAGACTTATGAAGACTGTGAGACTTAGTGAGTTCTTTCGAGCGATTTTTTTACTGAAATATCAAATAATCATAATTGACACTGGTTTCATAATTCCAATACTCTTCATATTGAAATACTTTCAACTTCCTGTTTATGATTGTTACGATTAGAATTGGTGGCGGGAAAACAAGAAGCATCATACACAATTCAGTTTTTCCTCCTCTTCACAATTCTTTTGATGTACTGTGTTAATTATAAATGTAAATTTTTCCTGAAGCCGTACCTGGATTTTCACTCCGCCCGATAGGTGAATAAATTTAACGTCCCAAGTATAAGCTCCTTACTTAGTTTGAGGAAAATATACTGGGTAGGTCAATACATATAGACGAATGAATATTTATTCGTAATCGATAAATCGCCCTGTATCTCCGTTATGAAGACTCTAAGACCTATCAAATATGGTATTTTCAGGACCACCTTGGTGACCCCTATGTACCATTGAAATATTTCCCTTTACCTATGAAACACCCTGTATACAGTGTGTCCACCTTAAGGACTTACCACCCCTGTAAAATTGTTATTATCTGACCGATTTCAAAAAACTTTTTTTTGTTGGATAGGTATTTGAAATGTCCATTCAACAAGAGAGTGATTTTACTCATGAATTGTAATCGTGGCCAAC